TATGCATTTCACAATAACTTGTTTCAAAATATATTTAGTAACATTATAATAAAGTATGAAGAAGCAAGGATTCTAACCACTTTGTCCTCCTTTGGGAAAGCATCCAGGGAAGCAGAGAAAGAAGAAATATATAAAGGAAAGAAAAAGAAAAAGGAGGAAAACATTAATAGGCAGATATAAATAAAGCAATTCCAATGTTTTTATAAAAGCAAAATTTACTGAAATGAAATACATTTTAAATGAAAATATCTGCAGTTTCTTTTCACAGAAAGCATCTTTTTCTCACAAATATCTTGAAGACTTTTTAGCAGAAATAAAAAAAGCACAAGCAGAATTGATACTTCAGGACTCAGCACTCCAATTTTAATAGCCTTTCAAGGATCCAAAAGGCCATACCGTATATTAAATATCATTTTAAAGAGTTTTCCCATTATATCTCCTGGCACTGCATATAGTCATTCCTGAAAGTCAGGAAAAGTCTGGAACGGAAAGTCAGGAAAGATCTGGAACAAGATTAGTCATAGAGAAGACTATACAACTGGAAGAAAAAATTGGTAGTTATTCCAGGCATGAATAAACGTACTTTTTACTTACAAACAGGGTTTCTGGAATCCCAGTCCAATGTTTTAAGAGCCTAACATAGCATGCTGTTTTTGGAATATTCCAAAAGCTCCACCAGCAGAGTGCACAACCTGAGCAATGTAGGGATGTCTAAATCTAATTTCTTACTCAGCACAGAGCTGTTATTGGTATTATTCGTCCATTAAGGTCCATCCTAAGTGCAACATTTGTAGGTTGCCAATTATTCTACAGCACCACTGAGAAGCATTTTGGGTGTTCTGTCACGATTTCAAATGAAAGTAGGATTTTTTATTCATAAAGTGGCTGAGGCAGATATTCTGCTTTCCTATTCAAAAAGTTGATAATTAATAGCAGTCTTCCCAAACTAGTTGCCACACAAATCCCAGCCAGATGGCCAATTCATCTGATGGTCAGCAGGATATAGAAGCTTGATCAAGAAAGTCAAGTTGTAAAGCTGTTTAAGAGCACATCAAAGTCTGCAACTGCAGTAAATACCTTTGTGGGTGCTGTTATTTGGAAATGCTTTTCTGGCACAGAATTAAAAAGTTAACAATCAAGAGCATACATTCACTTCTAAAATTCTGTCCTTGTTTTAATATGTCGACTCTTAGGATTATTCCATTTTTATAGGTATGTCCAAATATTTTTATGAACACAGAAAGCAAGCAATATGGAAGAGACAACCTCTAGTTGTTGAAAACATTTTAGCAGTCTTTACATCTGTACTTGGGAAACTCTCTTATTTTGTATTAAGGACACATGTCTCACTAGCTTAGAGCCACACTTTTTCTGGCCGAGTTGCTTATTTTCACAGAGACGCCACAACTGAGGCAAAGGGGAAGGGAGATAAAATATCGAAAAGGTGAAGAAATTTTGAAATGAGTGAATATTCATAACTTTCTGAAATAGTAGTGTGTCAGGATGCATGCTCCCATGTGCTTATTAAACCACTGTACTTTTAAATAGCCAATGAGCAAACTTTCCTGCACAAAATACACCTAACAACAAAATAGGTCAGCAAGACAAAAGCAGCAAGAGCACATAAGAAAAAACAAAATACAGTGAGAATGTTGCTCTACTTCCTAAAGTTTCCATTTTCAGCCTGTTATAATCATGTGGTAAAATTCAACTCACCATGATTAGATACCTCATAAAATCTTTTTCCTCAGGATCCAGAGGATATGGTGTACTGTGGTATACTTAGAAACAGACTGCATGATATACAGTAATACCTCGGTTCACGAAAGCTTCTGTTTGTGAACAATTCGGTTCATGAACAGCAGCGTTTGCAAAATTTTGCTTCTGTTCGTGAACTCCACATCGGGTGACGAACACGACCCGCGACCCTCTTCCCTGCTCTGACACGTGGTCGTGGCTTCCTCTAGGTTAGATTGCGGTCGCAGACAGACACTTGCTGTGAAGCTTTTTGGTGTCACCTCAAGCAAGGTT